ACTTTCAGCTGAAAGTATCATCCGCTTGCGTGGATGTATATAGCATACACTTACAACAATATTATCTTCTAAAGGTTGCCTCAAAATTTGGTATAAAGCTTCGTTCTTAGCTGTGTTGGGGGATGACGAATGGAAAATCATGTAAAAATCGATTCTGGTAGGGCTCTAACCGAACCGGCCATCTGAATATGGGCTCGGTTAAGCTCTGCATTGAGGCACCCGCTGTAACTCCGCTTGAACGGTATTTGCTCCAGCCAAGCATGATCATGGTTTGCTGATAGTTTCAGTCACGCCTCGCGTGGCGAACTGCCGAGATTAGACTACTTGCGGCTCACAAAGGGGTTAACAAATAACGCGCATATACATATTTTATTCCGCGAAGCCAGAAGACTAAAGTCACAGGGGGTTAAACGAACCTTTGGGCTTGCTTTTGGCGCAACTTTTACCAACGGTTCCATATGTGAAACCCCCTAATGACGCCCGCTGCTTGGTGAATACCCTGCTGCCTTGCTGCTGGACCTGCGCTGACCTGCAGTGCTTTGCACTACCTTAGCTAGACTGAGAGTTCCCAAGCAGCCTCTCCGAAGTCTCTCCAGCGGCTCTTGGCGTGGCCTAAATCTAGTCGCAGTCACTCCAGGATGCATGCTTCTACGGCAATACATATTGCCTCTCCCGTTCCCCTACGCAATTGAGCCGCTCCGATTACACGCCAGTTTCGTATATCCGATTCATGATTGCAATCGCCCCCGCAAGATCTGACACCATGAAGACCTGTACGCCATTGACATACGCCTTTGCATATGCGAGAGGAACAGGTAATGTCGGTGATTTGCCTGCCGATTGATGGATACTAGCTTAAGTCACACACATAGGCGGGGTATGACATAGTGGATACTGTTCCGCGCCCTGTGAACAAGCTATTCTTGGTACTACTGCGCATTATTTTCCTCGGTCGTAATAGACCCGGGGTACTTAAGTAGCACCTTCAAAGTTCAAAGATACGTATAATGATACTCTACTACCTCTCGTTGGACCTTGCCGACTATCCGTCTGGCAATGGCGCTGTCAATATCAATATCTCACTCAAGCGAAACTCCGATGACTAGTTTGTCAACTCTCAGATTCGACAAGCCTTTCTCACACAACCCCAGAGAGCTCTGCTATGTTCGGTTTACAATCTCCAGGATCCCTATACGCAGGATATTGGGTATCTCGTTCTTCCTCAATCGAGTCCTATCACCCAACAAATCGTACTTGACGGAGAGAACTCTTTTGATAACGAAGACATCGCCGACATGTTTTAACTCATTACTCGTCACAAATAGACCTCAGATGGATGTCATTATTGCTGCTATACTTGCGCAGCAGCCAAGATCCCGTCCTCTTCGGACCGCACCCCACCGTTCATTCCGCTCCATGCACTAGCTTTCGTTTGCTTGTTCTTAATCCCATTTCACCTGGCAGTGCAGGAAAGACGGCCACGATCATTGGGACGTTCCAGAAATCCGAATTTGGGGCGTGCGCGCCAGCGAACCCCTGCTGAAACCCCCGGACATACCCAAAACGTCTCAGGCTGATCATTCTCGGGGAATTCTCGGGCTCTATCTTGTGCGCTTAGAGGGTCACTTGCGTCACTCCAAAGCTCTAAAGTGGGGCAAGATGATGTATTGACCAATTTTCAAGACGATTCAAGGAAGTGTAGAGAGATAAAAAGGTGCGCAATCTATACGCATCCGTTCCAAGCCAGGCTCCAACCATCCGTACCACGAGTGACAAGGGCGTGAAAGAGTTCGACCAAGAGCAGCATCCTCCACACCATACGTGTAGTCGTTTAGAATGCGGGGTTGGCGTTGGTGAGCAACATCTCGAAGTACGCTAATCATAAGAAAGAGACCGTTAGCAAATTGCCATGGGAAAAAAAAAGTAGGTCGGGATGTTGTCTTACCTTCGAACCAGCTGCCAGCTTGGGGAGAGGGCTGGAGCGCATCCGAAAGCGAGCAAGTAGAGTCGTAGCGAGGAGCGCTCGAGTTGGAAGTACCGTCGCACTCTCCTCCGGGCTGTAAAGTAGTTTAAGCGATCAGCAAAGGAAGCGAAAGGAACAAATAAAAAGGTCGCTGACCTTGACCCAAACGATAGCATCGAGGTAAGAGGTCGGCAAGCCAGAGCTGGTGGGACGAAGACCGAAGCCAGCACCCTTGATGTTGCACCAGTCTCCCCAAGCGACGCGAATGCCTTGAACACCGGAGCGGCCCATATCGGTAATGAACTGAGCGGGGAATCCGTTGCTGGCGAGCTGCGGGCCAAGGGCGTTGATGTACAATAGTTCGTCGTAGTTGTTGTCGCCGGCAGTGATGGGATCGGCCGTGGCAACTTGCAGCGCGTTGTAGTTGGCGACGTTGGTGGCAAGACCCCTGACACGGTTGGGAGTGGCGCTCTTGTAAACCTGGGTGAAGAGGGTCGCGGCAGGACCGATGTTCGCGGGCCATCCGAGCCAGCCAGCGTGTCCGGCGTCGAGGTAGAGCCAGATATTGCACTGGGTGAGTGTTGCAAGGACGTATGTGGTGCAAGTCATGTAAGCGGATTGGGCAGCCGAACAGTTGGGATCAGACAGGTTGGTAACCAAGTTGGCAAGCGAGTCGGGCTCTACGACGGCAACGACGCGGACTTTGGGGTATTGTGTAATAATAGCCGAAATGGCATCGATATAGGCCTTGTAATTGGCGACACCATTGTTGGCGATGGTGTACTCTCCGTTGGAAGCCTTAGCATGGCAATCACTATTGGGGTATCGTCAGATCAAGCGCAACCAACGTGATTTTCTGAACCCACCGGTTAGGAAGGTCGTAAATAACGATCTGAACAATGATGTTGGAGGCTTGGCTCTGTGCATCGGCAAGGTAGGTCGCGCTGTGGGTATATTGGATTGAGAATGGTCATGAAGCACAATAAAACCGCATCACGTACAGGGTGGGAACCTTCGAGGCCGTGTCGAGCCACGTGAAGTTGGGAACCTTGGCAACGGCAGCAGCCTTCGTCTTCAGGGTGGCATCCGTCATGGTGGCGATGGCAGCATTAACTTCAGCGATATAGTACGGACTGAGATACGTGGTATACCCGCTGGCGTAAGGATTGCCCATGGCACCACAGGCTCCTGTCGTGGTCACGGAGGTCGCAGTCGTTGTCGCAGTCGTGCTTGTCGTCGTTCCCTTGGAGGTCGCGGAAGTCGACGTCGTCTTGGATGTGCTCGTAGTAGTGGCCGTGCCAGGGAGACTAAGGGGATGACATACCGTCGTCAGTCGAGTTTGAGGATGAGGAGCTGTGCCACGCTTACCACTGGGAGTAATAGGGGTTGCTGTAGACGCAGGTACTGCCGGATGCGCAGGTAGTAGCCCCAGTCCAGGCTAGAAGGTTATTCAAGAGCAAAGATGAGCTTATACCCTATTATTTACGAGAATCGGCATATCACTAACTCTGTCCGCCGCCTATAAGAAAGAAGGAGTCGTCAGTTCAGCTTTTCTGTTGACCACAACCCCCAGACAACGTACATTGTCCGTAAATAGGAGACTGAGCGTTGACAGACATGACAGTCCATGAGAGGGCAGCCAAAGATGTGAGGAGATACTGCATCTTGAATGGATAGTTGTTACTTGAACTTCCTTGACGAGGATGAATGACCGTTGGAGGATGGGGAAAACGAAACTGTTCCTTGTGACCATTATATAGTGCAAGATATCTATCACATAGGATCGACCTCGGATAGGCCTTCAGCAAGGGATGGGGCCGTAGACGACAGGATCGGCGAAGGAAACATCACAAGATTCAGGTTTGCAGTGCCAAGACGCAAGGTGGTTCCGCTTCTCCAAAGAAGGGTAAACTCAAATATCGGTTAGATTGGCGGGTTCTTGGCACTACTATCCGACATTCGTGTACAGCGCATTCATCGGTCGTCTGTCGGCAGGGACTGGTGATGGTTCTGTGGGAACCTCGCAAACTCCGCTGTGTCCGAAATTTCCCAAACACCTGCCAAACGCAAAGCGATGCAACCCACCTGATGACGATCCCCTAACTCTTAATTTATCTTGTTTCTAGCCTACACTTTAACCTCTAGCCTGGGACTTGGACAAAGGGATGTCCAAATGCACGACTGGCGTGTATATGGAGGACATACAGCTGCACGGAAGGCATGGAAGAGCATCGGCGTATATGACGCCTGCTGATCGGTAACCATCCTGCCTCCAGACCCGCGCTGACATGCGTATTGACAGGAGTGGCATGTCTGGCTTCGCCCTAGTCTTGCAAGTGATCGCCTAGATTGAGACCTCGCCGAAGTCTCTCCAGCGATTCTTGGCATATCTTCGCGGGCTGACATGCACTTCTACGGCAATACGTCTGACCTTGCGGGAATATTCCAGGAGTGTCGTTTTCCTCCATTACAATTGAGCTGCCCCGAGGACACTATTCCATGTATATCCGACTCGTTCTGCCAAGGTATCCGTCGCGCACCCCTTTGCAACGTCGAATTTATCCTTCACAATTCCCATGCGTTGGCCTGCACCGGTTACTAACCAGTCTCGCTTGCACTCTGCACGACAGTCTCATTAGGTAGCCAAGACCCTAGATGGCACCCCAAATGGTGGGACGTTAAATTGCGAACCCTTTAGGCTAATATCGGAACTTGAGCCATACGTCAGATTCGTCCGCGGTTGTGCCACAGAGTGGGGTGGTGACAATCGAAAGCCGAACAAACCCTAACGGATTGATTAGCTGGAAAACCATCGGAGCAAATCAATGCTTGCCGCGTTTCGTTTCCATTACCGGATGCGTCATGCCTCGGCAGTCACTATCCAGCACCGCTTTGGTCCGCTTGGTCACGAGAATATGGGAGAGCTTAGGCGTTATCTTTTTATGCTCTCACTTAACACATTGCGGTAGCTTTATGCAAGAACTTGGCTTTGCAATAATAAAACATAAGTTGTACTTGGCATAGTTATGATCAGTCAACAGTGTTGGTGAAGTGGTTATCATGCTTGCCTTCCATTAGGACTTCTTAAGCGGCAGCAAGCGGGCGGGGTTCGATTCCCCGACACTGTACTTTTTTCATTTGGGTAGGTTGCCGAAATGAAGACCACTATTGCTATTTTGGCCCGGGAGTGTTACGATCATGGCAGATGACTCCGAAGTGCTCTTTTCCAGCGTCAAGGGCGCGCGGATACTGTTATCGAGAAAAAGTGTAAGACGTTTTATAATGGTAACATATCTGTTGATATGGATCCCGAATGAAAGTCAGCAACTGGGAATCGTATCTCCCGACTTGCGCAAATTCTGAATCATAGCGCATTGGCAAGTCAAACAAACGATAATCCACAGTTCAAATTATGTCGATGCTAGATACTATTCCTCCAAAATAATTAGATATCAGATTAACCAAGTCGTGATGTCCGTGAGCGTCATCTCCCCAAGTCCAAATCCGATAGAGCCACGACGGACGAAGGTGATGATCCCATACGAGGTTCCGGTTCTTGCTCTGGGGATTCCGGTTCTGATTCTGGCACGGTCTCAGTCGATAGAGCTCCACCAGCCGCACTGCTCATCCTCCTGCCTCTTATCAAGCTCCCAGTCTCCGCAACTCGTGCCCCACTCCCGCTCATGCGTCGCGCGTGTGACTGACCGAACGAATTCCGTCGGCTATAGACTGGTGACCCTAGTGACGACGATAACGAAGGTGGTGGTACGGAAGGGTACGATAGTTGATTCACAGCGACAAATGTCGAAGTCGATGGATCAAGCTGTAAGACAGGAGAAGTCGAAGAGGGCGGGGTCGTCATCTCGGTGAGATATGACGAAGGTTCGTGTTCGTGGGTATTTGAGAGCGAAAGCCCGCCCGAATTCGGTTGATAGCTCGAGCTACTACTGCTTGATGTCGTGGCTCCAACGCGTCCATTGATGCGCATAGATGAGGTCGGCATGACGGGGGAGAATGGGAAGGCTAAGGATACAGATGGGGAAGATGAGGTGGTGTTTGGCGTAGTGGATGATGATATAGGTTTCGAAGGACGGTGCGTCTGCGAGGATGCCATGCGGCTCATAGCGATGGGGATTGGAAGGCCACTGAGCTGGGGGCGTTGTGATGTACTTGTGGGATTATGGGTGCTGGAGTTCGGTGAGCGTTCTAGGGAAGAGGCACGTCGAACTGACGAGACGGAGGAACGTAGGTGGGTTGGCTGAGAGTACATGTCCGTAGGTGAGGATGCAGAGAGTCCAATCAAGTTATCGATAGGGAGACCCAGCTATGTGAAAGCACAGACCCTGAGTCCACCAGCGATCGCATTTCTTGAGCACCACACTTACACGTCTTCGCAAGTCAATCAGCTCCCTTCTATAGACATCATTCAACCTTGAGAGTTCGACGTAATTTCGTTCCGTATCCGCTCTGAATCAGAACAGAAAGGGAGCTTGCGTGACTGGGCGCAAACCTTGGAGTTTGGACTGGCCCACTTACAATCGATTCCTCAATGCCTCATTCTCCCTTGTCATCGCTTCTAGCATTACGGCTTGTGGCGGGATTGCGAATGACATGGCGCCGTTCCTATGGAAGCTTCCAGCCCCATTGCCGTTGCCGTTGACGGTCGCCCTCCCATTCATATAACCTTCATCACCGTGGAGCGACGACTGTTGCTGCGCTTGCGCCGCTACAGCCCTCAAGGACGATATCTCCCTCGATAACCTATTGACGTGCGATTCGTTCTCGGCCTCGAGCATGTTCTCCAATTCCACCTTCTCCTCCTTGAGCTGTGTCGAACGACCAAAGTCTAATGAGCTTTATGAAATCTAACCCCTCTCCCCCCCATGTCAAGATCGAACAACGAAACGTACGCGTTCAAGCTTCCTAGATAGCCCATTCGTGATCCTCTCTTCTTCAGCTTCGAAGAGATACACGAGATCCTCTTCGCGCTTTCGACTGCTAGACGAAGGAAATGGTTGTGGAATGGTCCGACTCGAGCTAGCCACTGGTGAATCCATTTCTTGGGGTGGATGTAAAAGAGTAAGCTAGTCCAGAGTTGCACAAATGGATACGTATTGTGTAGGCAGCCTGACTTCTATTCCTCCGGCGTGAAAAGGGGTAAGATGGTGATGGGGCCGGTTGCCTTTGAAAGCCGATCAATGAACTCTACGTGTTTAATAACGCGCCCTGGCCTTGCATACGTCTAAGTCAGATGCTTCTAGGCCATTTGAGACACTCTTAATTATCATGGGCTCCGCGCTCGACGGGAGGCGGAAATACTATAGTATTTACAAGCGCTCGCCGATGCCAGATCGGGCTTTATGCATTCCAAATGCACCCCCAGCTCGAAAACCCGTTATTCACCCCTGCCCGCAGAGGCCCCTGGTGTAGGGTACATACGAGGGAGGGTTTCAGAGTCGACCTTCGATTCGATCCTCGACGAGGCGTGCGATGGATGAACCATGCACTGGTATCTGATCCCCTTGGAAGCCCTCTGGATAATCGACATTCGGGGCGTTGGGATATGTGTGCCATCTATGTGCGTGCCGGGTTACATTCATTCAGCAAGAGCTCGAGAAAGGAAAAAAAAGTTCAAAATACAAACGAACTTACGTATCGTTCCAGACCGCAAAGTGTCTCATACCCAACGTGCGCGCTGTCCACTCGTAATCTGTCGCGAATCCTCCTGGGACGAAGATCTCGATGACCGTGCTCAATGGCGTAACTGGCATCCACACGAGGTGCGTCAGACCATTTCCATGAACGCCAAGCATGACCTTTTAATAACGCCAAGAAAAATCAGCCAAGGACACAACGGCTCAGCCGATTGAAGAAGCGTTACCGTGGTCTTTGCCGCAAGTTGGACCTGCTCCTCGCGGCTCAGCTGTTCTGCGTGGACGATGTTGAGTTCCCAACCCTTCACGTCGCACAGCTGCCGTAGAGACTGTACGAGGTTCTAGAAACAAAAGGTCAGTCGATGGCAAGGGTTTATAGCCCAGCCAACGTACTCGATGATCCTCCGCGACCAAGCTCCGCCTTGTACCACTCCTCACGATGTAGCTGATCACAATCGGCATCGCCTCCGAAGCCAAAGACAGCGCTCTCGTATCAGCCGCAACATCCCTTCCACCGGTCCAAACGCCATCCCACATAACCGGAAGGTCCATCACCGCCCGATCGACTCCTGCGAATCGCAATGCGCTCCTGCGCACGGGCTCCCACCACCATTGACTGTTGATGTCTTTTACCACCTCCCAGGCCTCCGAGGCGATGCGGTTCGTCTTTCCGGGACAGATGGCCCCGCGCATGGACGCAGACCTGTCGGCTAGGACGACGTTGGTGAATCGGAAGGCCTTTGCGGTGGAAGTGGTCATGGAGGTTCGGCCTTCCCAGTCCTGAGCAGACTCGGTGCCTAAGATCGATCAATATCGTTGATGAGTGCAAAAGACAAAGAGGATGAACTGCTCACTTAAGGCAGGGAAGACACCGTGCAGCACCCAATGATTGAATTTAGAGTAATCCCGCCATTCTGGGGAAATTATCGATATTCAGATGACATGCTTCATTACAGTGTGTTAAACCCACCCTTGTCTTCGTGATGTGGGAACATGACCCGGGCGGGCGCAGGGAGGATAGTATTGCCGCGCACGTTGATATTGGGATCCATGGATGCAAACATCATCCAGAGGCCAAAGAAGGTCTCCGCAACGAAGTGATAATAGTGGTTGAGATGCTGCGGAGCGTCGTTGATCATGAACTGTGAGGGGAAAGTCAGAAACTCTTAGCTTGAATAAAAACCATCAAGATGGACGTGGGGCTTACAGTCCAATCTTCGACACCCCATATCCTATCTCCCCAAAGGGCTTCCGCTTCAGATGGCGTGATGAGTGAAATTGTATGAGGCGTCGGCTCTCTCTTCTTCTCTTCCTCTACACCTCCTTCCAGTGGCAAAGCGACATTTATGATGAAGTGGGATTCCGGCCAATCATTGGGCTCGGACGTAATGATAAACAAGGTCCCGTTCGATATGTATAAATTCTCCATGATGGTCCAGCCCGGAGCATTTCGGACAAGTTTGGTAAGTGGGCGAGGGTCAGCGGGAGCTGGTTGTGAAAGACTATGACGTATGCTGTCAGAGGATTGAGATGACGACGACGGGAGAGCTTGCGGAGACTCTGGGGTATGAGGTGCCGTTGCAACAAAATCAGGTCTATCGCCATAGATGTCGTCGTCGGGGTATAAGTTCGGGACTTCGACTTCCTTTGTTGCCAGCGCCGGTGGCTTGACAAAACGGTGGTTGGGGATGCGGCCGCGTTGCGGGCTGGGTGGTAGTTTGGCCGCTTGTGAAGGCAAGCTTTTCCATCCGGTCAAAGTGCTCCAGCTTGATTGTAGAGGCAAGTGGCTGGAGTCGAGTTGGAGGACGACAGCGCGGTAGTAAGCGGTCGTGAGAAGACCAGCGAGGACGACTAGAAGGATGGCGTTGAGCCCGGGAGCGTTGCGTCTCGACATTCAAAAGGGAGTGTGAATTGAAAAGAGTGAAAGGTATAAGCAGGAGGACACGGTCAACAAGTCGATCTGAAAAAGAGTGAATGGAGGAACAGGGCAACTTCGAATTCTGCATTTTATCGTTTTGACAGGCCACGTGGTAGATAAACCGGCGTCCATTTAATTCCGTCAGCCTCAAAGCCCTGATACCGCAAGAAAATTAAATCCGCCTTGGCGTCCACTCTATATATATTCTACCCACTATCTTCACCTTGTATACCGCTATACCATTCATACGCCTTTGCAAACGTCCTCAGCAATCCCCTGGCTTAGAGTACCTAATCAGATCCTTTTCTTGTAAGCTCGCCGCTCACGCTGCAGTTCCCACTGCCTATCCTGCATACTCGCTCCCTTAGCCTGCGCCTATTGTCGAAATCACCTGCCGGGGCGGTACTTTCCCTCGTATTCAAATGGTCTAATTTGCTCTTCAGTTTCGGCACCATGACCGTCTTAAGTATGCAAACCCCTGGTTAGCTATATTGCGCCCGTGGGCTCAACCTAGCCTTTGACTTGCAAATGGAATATTTGAAGGTGTTATGGAGAA